CGATGCCCGCAGGTGCTTCAAGCCCAGCGCCCCTCGGCACCCGCTCTCCGCGGCCGGCTCTGTCCTTTCCAATTGCCTTTCTTGTTGCATTTCTAGTCAGCCTTCCCTGCAGCAGCCGGGATTTTTCACGGTTTTTCAGGGAGGTTCCCAGAATCATTAGGGTTGGAAGGGACCTCTGGAGATGATCCAGTCCAAGCCCTCTGCCAAGGCAGGGTCATCTGGAGCAGGTGACACAGGAACGTGGCCAGGTGGCTTTGGAATGTCTCCAGAGAGGGAGCGACATCCCTGGGCAGCCCCTCAGCAATTCCACTGCTCTGCCACTCTGCGTAAGGCAGCTCTACCTTACATTGGGGTGGAACTTGTTTCTCACTTGTGTTTCTGGCCTTTAGTCCTCGTCCTGTCGCTAGGCACCAGCAAAAGGAGTCTGGCACCATCCTCTTGACACATTCCTTTAAGATATAAATATCTTTGATGCGGTCCCTCTTCAATCTTCTCCAGGCTAAGCAGTGGGTTGGTGGTATATAAGAATAAAAAGAGCTGCCACGCTGTGAAACTCCCGCTGCCTCTGGCCTTGCATGCCCTCCCTCTGGACAGGCTTCAACTGTTCCACACCTTGCCAATGGAGCTGCTTTGAACAAATTAACATCTCAATGTACCGAAGGTTGAGTAGCAAAGTCAATAAAACAGCCATTTGTTTCTATAGAAACTAAACACCTTAGCAGGGATTGTACCAAGCATTGATTTTGGTGATTTTTTTTTTAACTGGAATTTACTGCTTTTGCAGCCTGCTCTTGCTTGTTTTCAGGAAATCAGAAATTTGGAAAACTGACTTGGAATTTTTTAGCATGTGAAGAATGATGGTAATCACATGATAGCGGTGGCAGAAAACCTCTGGAAGCTAGTTCAGTGAGTTAGAATTGATTTCTGTGTCTGTATAATCATGAACACTAAAAATCTCAGTTTGTTTCCCCACTTTCAGACCTTAAGAAACTTTGTAACTTCCCATCTTCCACTCCCCTTTCTTCCTAGGCTCTTTTTCCAGTTCAGCTGCAAGGAGCTAATCCAAGAATAGGCTGATGCAGCTGCTTGCTGCCCAGAGATTTGGGGCGTTTGTGAAGGTTTTTTCCAAACTATCATTAACATGAGGAAATGTCATAGAGAGAAATACTCAATTGATGCATTCCAGATTTCTTAGATGAAGTTTCCCCGTATGTTCTGTTCTCAAGTGGCACTGATACTTGAATGCCTTCAAGAATACAAATAAGTAATTTAGCTTATCCTGGGAGGGAAATACTAACAGATTTCTGGAAGTCTACAAGGCATGGAATAGCACTCGTTGTGTTTGGTAGTGAGACAGTGAAGTAGCTGTGCATTTAAAAACTAGTAGGTTCATGTTTACCTGTTTTACATTTTTTCCCTGTTAGGACAGAGCATAGAGTTTATTTATTATTTAGTTCTGTGTTTGACTGTACCTAAGTTTGTTAGGTTTTTTCTAACTTTTTTTTCCCGAAATCAGTCTTTATGCTTTCCCTGAAAATATTTGTGGTGTTTATCACAGTGATTCTCATGAGCTATGTTGACTTCAGTTATTTTATCAGAATCACATGCATGTTTTGATAAGCACCTGAAAAGCCTTGCTCCTCAATTTGACTTTTTTTTTCCCAGACAAAAAAATAAGTATTTCCCTTTGGCAGTCATTTCTTTTTTCCATTGAACAGTAGGAAGATGGGTCATGTGAATTCCCGCAGAGCCCTTCTGAATGCTGTCAGGAATTTTTGGTAGGTTTTGGGAAGTTCCAGATAATTATGTTTGGTTTTGTGTTCAAGATGTAGCTCTCCAAAGCCCTTACATTTCCAAATGCAATGACTTGTTCATTGGAATGCTTCAAGGGGATGAGTATAAGGAAGAGATTTCCATTGCTCTCTCCTTTCAACCATTAACACATAGCCTTTAAAAGTTGATGGGTTATGGAAATATGCTAGATACAGGAAAGGAGTTGGGAAAGTCCTAAGGGGGTGCACATCTGTTAGGCCTCAGCATTCTGCTGCTGGCCATTTCCAAGCAATCCTTTTCTGTAGCTTTATTTACATTGTGTCTAAACCACAGTTTTAGCATTGCTTGTGGCTTTGCCAATGCAAACACTCAGCGTGACCAAAACTGAAAAAAAAAATTAAAATGGATTCCACTGGAACTTGTATTCAGAGCCAGAATAAACTGGAGTAGTGCAAGTGTCAGCTCTTGTTCATAGGAAGTTTACACTTCTGTCTAAAATGGCAGCTAAGCACAGGTGAGAGGACACAAAGCCAAGTGCTCAGCTGGTGATGTTATTCTGACAGGAGTTTGGAATATGGAAGAAGTTCCAGCTCAGGGATGTCAGGCTGCATCTTACTGGTTGACTTTTGCATTACCAGGAAGAGGCAAGCATTGAACTGCTTTGGCCACTTGTTTTTGGAAGATAATTACAGCTTGATGACCCTTTGATTATCTGAATTTGACTTCAATAGAATTGTTTTCTGATTGCAGAACAACTCATTCTTACAACTTGTGTTTTTTAAGAACTTCAAAATAGAAGATTTGTCTGAAGTTCTCTCGATTGCCCCAGTCTTGGATGTGAGCATCCAATACTGAAATGATATTTTAAATTCATGTTTGCAAAGTCATGAAAAAGTCCTTAAGAACCAAGCCAGATTTTTTTCTTTACAAAATATATCTTTGAGACAACACTGTATGTCTTGGCCTAAGAAATTTGGCTGCCTACATTGCACAGCTCCTCTATTGTGTAGATAGTGCTATTTTCAGGTGTACAGGTAAAGCAGCAGCTTCCTCATGAAGGTGCAGCTATAAATACACCAACACCCAACCAGCAGAGCAAGTTTCTTGCTGATAGATTTTCTGTGCGAGGGTTTTGTCAACTTGGAAATACCATACAAAATAACTCCTGTGGGATCACTGCTGTCACATCTGAAATTCAGTTTCGATGAGATTCAGTGTTTCTTGAGGGTTTCAGACTGGTAGAAGCACAGTTTGGCAAGGATCTCTGGAGGTCATCTTATCCAGCCTCCTGCTCCACAAATGTTCAGTTCCAGTGGATCAGGAGCTTCTGAACAACATTCCCTGGGACAGATTTATTCCCAGCTTCTTGCTAGGCAGCAGCTGCAGGCCTGGCGGGTTACACAGGAGCCTGTTTGTTCTGAGGGGAGGGGACCTGCTGAAGATGAGAGGCTTGGGGTAAGAGACTGCAGCGGACTTTGCTCTGTAAACAGTGGGAGCAGATGCCAGCAGGTGTACCACAGGCTGATGGCTGTGGCTGATGGGACCTGCAGAAGTCAGGGAAGAGGCCCTGAGTTGAAGTGAAGGCTTCAGGCAGTGAAGGAGAGCTCCAGAGTGCCCTTTCCAGGCTGTTAACTCCACATGTCCACAGAGATGACATCAGGCTGGCACCATAAGATTGTTTTTTGCTCTGGAAGAAATGAGGCCAGCATTCCTAGAAATGTCAGGCAAGAATGCTGTGCAGAAAACTGCAGTTTCTAGATTGTTCCCAAGGTTGAAAAGAAGTTCCTAAAATGAGCAGCAAAGTACATGACAAAGTTTCCATCACCTTGTGTCACAGACTGAAGCAAGGTAGCTCTTTCATAGCAGAGCTGATGAAAACTCATTTTCCATGGAACTTTTCTTGCACTGGGATTTTCAATGTCTAATAGTGCACACATCATTTCTCTCTGTCCTCAGATTCTTCAGAAACTAAAAAAATCTGAACTCTACTTTGATCTTTATCTTTCCCCTAGCTGGAGGACTAGGTGGTTCTCCTGCTGCCTCTCCAATGCTTAGGTCAATGAAGCTAGCAGAGATCTCTGAGACCAGAAATTTGTTTCAAAATTTGGCTGAGACTCAGATATTCAGAAGTGAAAATGGTGAGCTTTGACACATGGCCCGGACTGAAATACATTGTTTAAAATCAGACAGTTCTGGAGGTGCCTGATTTCCCTTCTCCTCCCTAGTCTATCTACTCTGCATTTCCTCTCTTCAGCTCTGCAGTGAAGGACTCCAGGGACAGAAATTAGGATTCTGCAAGAATTTAACCTCCAAGAAAGCTGGAGAGGGGCTTTCTACAAAGGCACATATAATGGCTTTGCACTGGAAGGGAGCAGATTTAGGTGAAAGATAAGGTAGAAATTATTCAGTGTGAAGGTGGTGGTGCTCTGGAGCAAGCTGCCTGGAGAAGCTGTGGATGTCTCACCCCTGGAAGCATTCATGGCTGGATGGGGATTTGAGAAACCTGGTCTAGTGAGAGGTATCTCTGCCCATAGCAGGGAAGTTGGAACTGGATGTTCTTTAATGTCCCTTCCAACCCAAATAACTCAAGGAACCCATGCTCTGTTTCTCCTTTCTTTACAGTATGGTTTGTGTTCTTTGTGTAGGGATGTTGGCCCAACATGTCTGGGATCAAGTAAGGTCTCTGCCCAGTGTTCAGTGGAGTTTGTACATCCACCAGAACCTGGTGGCCTGAGATTTGACACTCACTTGACATTGCTTCTCACCATGGCTGTAGCCCCTTACTTGCATCTTTCTCTTCCAGCTCCCACAGAGACCTCTGAACATCTGTTCCTTTTGACTGGGCATCCAGGACATCTCTTCTTGTCCAGGCCCCACCACAAAGTTTACATGATCCCCTCCTTATGTGTAGACCAGCCCTGGCCACTGACAAATGCAGCTGAGTGTGACAAGAGGAGCTCACCAGGCACCCTGGGCACTGTGCAGGAGCTGAGGGAGGAGAGGCTGAGGGCAGCCCCTTGTGTGACTGTCCCTGTAAGGGGCCATGGGCACGGCTGGTGTGCACAGTGTACATGGTGGGAGTATCTCTGAGACTTTATCACTGGGCAGGCGTTCCTGCGCAGGCAGCTGTAAAACAGAATCGTGTTCTTTTGTATCACAGCAGCTTCCTTTAAGTTTGTGCTAAGGAAAGTCAGAATTTGTTGGAACTTTGGCAACTTTAAGGTGGGTATATGTTCCTGGGGGCTTTTCTGGGTTCCCTAGGGAATTGCCTTCTCCTTCTTATCGGTCTGCAGGCTGTCAAGGGAGTCCAGGTGATTAACTAGGACTGGGTTTTTTTTATTTTCCTCTTAGTTTCATTTGATTGTATTAGTTACTCTTGTCTTAACCATATTTACCTTCAAAGGTGGCAATTTTGAAAAAAAGAATCATGATTATAAAATGTGTGGGTGAAATGCATTCACAGCAATAGTTCTGTGTGGCCTTGATTCAGGTACTGCCTTCTAAAATTATTGCAGAGTAAATTTGTTTCTGGCAGGGAAAGGAGTGGAGACCTTCCAGGTCAAAAGCAAGTGAATTATTCCATGGACTCTATAGTGGGGCCAGGATTTACCTTTCAGCATACATACTTTCAGCCATACATACTTTTTAGCTGCTCTTCCTCTGTCATTAAATAGCCATTTGTCATGGATGGCTATTTATAATGTAGGAAGAAACAGTAGATAGTTCTTTTCAAAGAACTTTTTCAAAGGGTTTTAATTCCCTTTGAAAAAAATATTAAAAATTAAACATTTCCAGAGAAGTTCAGTGTAGCACAAAGCAGTGGGTGCCAAGTCCCCAGCCATCCCCATTTTGAGGGTGGTTTTGTTGGCCAGCTCTAACTGTTCCTCATGGACTGAACATCCACAGCTTTCCCAGAGATAATGAGGCACTTCGGGAGCAGAGTTTCCCATTTGGTTTTACCCCAAAGGAGGCCACGTTGTGTGCTCTCAGGCTGCTCCACAATATCAAACAGAAGAGGTGAGAGGAAGCTGAGGTGTGAGCCCAGACTGCTGATTTGAGCAATAGCACAGGCACACAGACAGAAAACCTGTCTGTGAAATAGCTGCTTGTGAAATGGCTCCAAAGCAGCCCCCGTTTACAGCTGCCACTTGAAGCAAACCAGAGGCTGTGTCATTTGAGTAGTGGCTTATAAACAGCCAGAACAGTTCAGGAGAAATTTGGCCTGGCAAAAGGAGTGTACACAGAGGCTACAAATCCACCATCCCTTCCGAAATATCTCTGCCATATTTCAGCAGTTGGAGGTTCCCGTCAGGAGGTGCAGGCAAAGTGTCAGACACAGCCCATTCTCTTTAAGGGATGAGTTTTGCTTCCAGGGATGATTGCGCCTTCTGCTAAAAATCTTATGAGCTTTTTTCTTCTTTGTTTTCCCCTTTTCAATCACTAAGGACATTCACATAGAACAGGATGATTGTTGTTGCTGTTCTTCCATCTCCCTAGAGCATCTTCCCTAGATGAGGACGCAGTTGCAGTGGGTCTTGCAACCAGTCACAGAAGTGATTAAATGTCAAAAAAAAGTAGATGTTAAATTCATGTGAAGAGAGGTAGCTCTAACATTTGGGAATCCCACAAAACAGGGTTTTTATGGTGATGGTGCTTCAGTACTCAAAGGCAGAAAAAAAACTGCAGTGGAGACAGTGGTCAATAGGAAATGCAGCACACAAAGACTGTGCTGGGAACTGCTTTGGCAGTTAACATTTAGCTTCACTGAAACCAATGGAGGGAAAAAATATTAATAAATAGTGTGAAAGTTTTTTCTTCCATTGCAGTTAAGAGGAAAGGTACACAGTTAACTGATGGCTGAGCATTTGATTGTGAATAACAGCAATTGCAACACTGTTGCATGTGCCTGCATGTGTTCTGGTGAGCTTTTTTTTGTAGGCAGGTAGTGGACAAGGAACTGCAGGCAGATTAAGAATTACTTGCTACTAACTGAACATACAGGTAGTTTCACTTGCCTTTTCCTGTGAACTGGGACTTTAATTATTGGGGCTTAAATATTTAATACTCTATATATATTGTCTATTTTTTAACAAAAGTGTCAAGCAAAAGGTTTAGGTATTGCAAAATGGGAAAGAAGAAGAAATATGGCCCTAAGTCATCTTTGAAACATTTTCATGAAAACTGTAATGCCACTAGAATCTGAAGGAGGGCAGTCAGTATATTATCACTTGCAGGAAACTACAAAGATTGAATTTGCCAGGTAAGCCAGGTATAAACTTGTTAGGATTTGGCAGATCTGTTCACTCATGATTACGTACTCACACTTGGCCTTTACCCCCGTACACTTTGTACAACCTACCTAGACCCAGCTAAATTTGCCTGAAGTTTTCCCTGTCACCCTCCCTGCCTTCCAGCTGGCAGGGAACTCCTTGGCTGCTCCTCTGGGCAGAATGCCTGCTGGGCACACTGCTGATGTCCATTGGGAAATGTCTTCTTGTGTCACCTAGCTTTTGGGACTACTGAGGCAAGAGCACAAATACATTGGTTCGGGATGTCCCATTTAGAAATGCTGTTCAATTTTAATGCACAAGCTACAGGCTTTTGCCTGAGGAATGTACAGAAGTTTATAGTATGTAAGGCACTAGGGCAGGAGCTCAAATAGGCTTCAGTCATAATGACAGACAGCTTATCCATTTGGCTTTCTATTTCGTAGGATTTATTCTGCTGTTCTGATAAGCTATGATTTAAAACACACTGAAGTGCCAGTGCAGGCAAACAGCCCCTTTTCCAACACTGAAACACATCATGGAGGGTAAAGACACTGTGCTTTGTATCTGTCTCCCAGCATGAGGGAGACAATAACTGAGAGGTATGGGGCTCTGCCCACAAAGACCACCTCACAGGCTGTCGGCTGAATTTGGAGTGGGAATCAGATCCAGAAAACAGATACCTGAATTTAGGTGTCTAATCTTCCACACTGGAGACTTAGTTATGGCAGTGAATGAGCTGGGAGTGTGATTCATCTGAGGAAATGTAGGTATCCATCCTCTGTTAAGCTGAATCCCTCCTGGCAGTGGCAGGTGGGACACGGAGCTCATCGTGTGTCCACACCTCTGAGTACACAGCTCCAGCCTGGAAGCCCGTCCCTGGTAAGGATGTGCTGATGACAGGGATTCAGTCTCCAGCTGCTGCGTTGTTTCTGCAGTTTAATGAGAGGGGTGGGCTGGGCCCCCCCCGGCAAAGGATGGAGCTGCAGAGCCCTCTGGAGAGCCAGAGAGTCTGAGGCAAGCTTCATCCCCTCTGTGAGGGGTGGGTGAGCACATTAGACCTTATTTAGGAAGTCAAAATGGCACTCAAGGCTGTGCAATAAAGAAACAACATCTCTCTGTTAAAATAATTTTAACAACCTGTATTGTCGAGTTCAGACAAATAGACTTAACCAAGCCTTCTTAGCATATGAAACATTAGTATCTACCACTTATGTCTGAACCTATGTTTTAGATTTTATTTCCCAGACAAAAGAGTAATTTAAAATTATGCAAATGAGCTGCCAAAGCAAGGCATTATGCAGATTTGTGAGGCAGGCAGCAGAGTGTTAACCCTTGGTGCTGTAGCTTGCTGCAGAGGGAGTGCTGCTGCAGCTCTGCGTGAATTCCTTCCAGCCCTTGTGCTCTTTAATTGCAACGCTCCTGTGGCAGGGCCTGAGGTGTGAGGCTCAGCCCCTGCATACCCCCAGTGCCAAGTGGATTTAGGTGGATGGAAGAGCTGTGTTTGCTGCATTGTTCACCTCAGACTCCTGCCCAGCACAAGCTGTACACAAATCTGGTCTGGGCATCTCAGAAAAGACGAGTGTTGTCAACTGTCATCCGTGGTTTCATACGGGTTGTTTCCAGAATATTTGAAGTGACTGTCATGGGAGAAATATTAAATTGCTTTTCAAATGCCAGCACTGCAGTAACACTTCAAAAACAATTGACACTGTCAGCTATAAGTCCTCCAGCTTGCTGGCCTGGCTTGTATACACAAGATGCACTAGCAGCCTTGACTTTCTGTAGAGGAAAGCTATTAAAAGAACTCCATGTTGTGCTAATTTGTGGGTTCAATGGCTCATTATCCTACCCAGCTATAAAGGTGGTGGGAATAACTCTCAGTCAGGAACAGATGGGTTTTGATAGAAATCCAAGGTCTGATCTGCTCTGGAAGTTTGCCCTGGTCTCTGCAACTGATGCCAACAGCTGACATAGCCACATTGGTGCAAGCACCAGTGCTGAGCAACAGATCCAGTGTTTTATAGCAGTAAAGTTTGGCAAATGGCAAGAGCAGGCAAATCCCCAACATGCATGAGGATGTAAGTGCAGCTGATCCCTAGTGGAGGTGCCTGATGATGGGTTAAAATAGTGGCAGCCAAGCCCAGGGAAAGAGGGAGGCAGTTCACATTGGGCAGTTTTGGAAGGCCTGGTTTGTGCCTCAGTCATGCTCATGTGGGATGCCATGCCCTGGGAATATTTGATTTGTTCAGCATCAGGCAGGGGTGGATCCTGGGGAGGGCAGGAGGGACTCTGGCTTCAGTATGGGAGAACTTGAATCCACATTTCCTCCTGCACTCCAGTTCATAGAATCATACAATAGAATCATACAGTGCTAGTTATTCATGGCTCTCTGTGAGAGCTTACAGAGCAGTGCAGGTTTCAAGGAAAACACCAGAATATGTATTTCTGTAGTGAATTACTTCAGGAACCAACATCTCAGTGCTGCTCTTACTACCCAGAAGTAATCTGGGTTTCTCTCTTACACCCAAACCCTTTAAAGTTTTCTCCACTCACCAAATTGCTCCTTCACTTTCTTTTTAGTTAAAGATGTCATTTCAAGCTGCCTGTCAGAAGCTGCCTGTCTCAACCAGCAATACTGAATAAAGACTTCAATATGTTCAAACCTGGATGCTGTTGGTGAGTTTACAGGCTTAAAACCTATGACCATTTTCAAACTGGATACACATGTGTGCACACAAAGGTTATCTCAGTTTAGCTACTTTGGTTTTGCTTGTCCTTAAGAGCATTTTTGGCTCAAAAATGTGATGTGTCTCATGTATTTGGAAAGAGTTGTCCAAAGCACATGATCAACATCTGTTGGTTTTGATATGCCAGAGGAGCTATGTAAGAGATGCAGAGATTAGAGAATACATTGCTGCTTTGTATATTTGTTTTTAAACTTCAATTTTCTGGTTTGAATTTGGAGTTTATCTATTGCTCAGTTTTTATATTTAAGCAATGGGCTGAAGTAAAGTAAAATAAAAAAAGCTTGAAACCCACTTACATTGGTTCATGTTTTGTTAGTTTTGGAGGAAAAGAATATAAGGATAGAAAGCTGAAAAGGATATAAATCAGACACTGCTGCTGTACTGCCAATGCCTGGCCAGCTTAAAAGAACTAAACTACTTTAAATAGGCAGAAACACTGTTTTATGATGGCAAACAACATAATTGAGCACCAATACCTTGGAAGGAAGTTGCTACAAAACCTCTCTGGTGCTCTGGAAAAGTTTTGCAGCACAGGCACCTATAAGAGAGTTGTCACCACCTGCCAGCCTGGCATTTCCTAAAAGCAGGGGTGTAAAATTGTAGCACACACCTTGATTTCTATAAATGCAGCACCAGGAAAGGCCTTACAGCTCATTTTAGGTCAGTGCAGCTTCAGGGCACTGCTCCCAGAACCATCTCTGAAGACTCAACACTAAGGTCTTGTCCACAGTAACGCTGAAACCCTGACTTCTGTGTCCAGACAAGGTCTGCCCCGACTGCACTCATCTTAATTAGGTTCTTAGCAAAGATCTTTGCTTCTGTGAGCTCCAACCTTGCCCATGCTGAGATTTCAAGAAGGTAAACTTGCAGGCACAGCCACGGAGTCACTTTGCTTCTGCACTGACCTGCATGGTGGCTTTGCCGCAGAGATTTCCTGCAGGCACACTGCCAGCTCGGGTGGGTTCTCTGCATGGGGATGCTTCAGAAAGCTGAGGTGCATCAATCAAAAATGTTACTACTGCAGGTCCACAATGTCAGCCTGCACATGCTAAAACCCCAATTTCATACCAAGGAGTTGTAATTGTGATGAAATCTTGAGGATGGTATCTTAATCCTTATAACACTTGATTTCTTTTGTATGGCTACTTCATAGTTTAACCATTTAAGCCCATTTCTATGAGGAAACTGGTAGGTAAAAGATTGAGGAATCAACAGGGACCAGGTTTTTCTTTCATCATGAAGTCATCTGTCAGTGCAGCTCATGACCGGAATTAAGACAGGCAATGTCTATCAGGGGTTGCTAAGGATTGCTTGTCTGCATACTTCCTTGGTAGCATTTTGCAAAAATGGGTGATGTGAGGTACAGTGATGGAGAAATGGCTGCTGTGAGCACAATGACCAGAGCTGTGAAATTTCTAGGCTGTGAAATTCCCTTTGTGTGGGAACCCCCTGAAGGTGTGTCACCTCCTGTCATTCATTCTGCACTCCTCCCTGCCCACCTGGTGAAACATCTTGCTACAAGCCATTAGCACTCAAAAGGTGGACAAGGGGATTTCCTGCTCCTTCAAAGATAAGCAATAAATTAGGAGAAATAAGAAATACATGTTAAACCTGAGGGCATTCCTTCAAAGAAACATTCCTTTTATAACAACACTGTTCATTCCACAACAAAGAAGGTGCTCCAGAGAAGATGTGATGCTGATGTGAAATACTGATACATGAAGTATGGCTCTTACAGGATTTTCCATTCTGGTCTATCTAGTTTGTTGACACATAAAAAAGATCCAGATCTTCGGTTTAACTTAAAAAAAAATCTCTTAGGAAATGTTTTTTTACTCAGCATATAATTAATGTATGGAATCAGCACAGTATGTTCCTGACAGGTATAGACTAGCTCTGTACTTGATGGTCTAGCAGCCTTTTGAGCTGTGTCCCTGTGAGATGCTGTGGGAGGGAGGGCTCAAAACAGTGTGTAAGGCCAGGAGCTCAGCTGTTAATTTAAAGAAAAGCCTTTAGTTTCTGGAACAAGAAAACTGTAAGAGCTATAGTAACATCTGGAGCTTTCTTGGTTCAAAGAAGGTTTTTCTGCATTTCAGAAAGGATTATGTGCATGCACAGAAAGCAGTTCCAGTGGTGTTACTGGAGCAAGTTCTCATCCAAAGACTCTCAGATTCCACACTTGGTGACTCAGAAAGTAGCACCCACGTCACAGGCTTTTACAGCAGTGACATCCACACCTGAGGGAGTTCCCTGCACCTTCCTTATGGCAGGTAAGGAAAACAAGGACCCAAGGGACTCAGCTGGATAGCTGCTGATGGGAATAGCCATGTCCTAGCAGCACCCCTCTCCTTTGTCAGCTGCAGTGAAAATTTAGAGGGAAGTGGATGTGTTTGCTAGAGGTTTGAAGAGGTTTGAAGAGGCTGGAGCCCATCAAGGTGCCTGCTGACTGCAGCTGGGGAGCCTTCAGCTTTCCCTGCTCTGAAGGCAGAGCCAGCCCAGATGGGGTGGGGAGATGCAGGCTCCCCTTGTGCTGGGTGACTGAAGCAGGCACCCCTTGCAGCTGTGCTGTCCATCCTGCCCCTCTGGTAGGCACAGCTGCCCCGAAGCAAGGATGTGCTCCTCCCATGAATCATCTCCTCAGCCACACCAGTTAATGTGTCACTACATCTCTTGCTGTCTGTGCTCCCCACAGCCATGGGCCTAAGACTGATGCAGAGCAGGCAGGACCTGGGCAGGTCTTGCTCAGATGCAGGACAGGTGAGTAGTGAGGAGAAACAGGAAAGGCAAGTCCAAAGGCTGGTGTGACACAAAGGAAAAGGTGATGCAGTAACACCAAGTGAGCAGGCACAGCCCTGTGCAGCCTACTGGTGTCCACTGGAGCCTCCCATCAGGACATGCTATGGCAGCACCATGGCTCCAGCTGGAAATGAGAAGGGGTCTTCCCCAAAATATCCAGCACAGGCAGGACTGTTAGAGGCAGGATTCTGGAGCACACCTAAGCCTTGCTCATCACCACAACATCCTGCCTCTTCCAAAGCAGCAGCTCTCACAGACCTGAGCCTGGGAGGTGCAAAGCATCTGGGCCATCTCAGAGATCAGTGCTTCTGAAATAGGGTGTGATTGTTACGGTTCATCACAGCTCAGGCTTAACTTTAAACTCCTCAGTCATACAAGTAGTTACTGTCTGACCCTGTCTCACGCCCTAGCAGTGTTGCCAAAGGAGGAGGGAAAGAATTGAAATTTTACACCGTGGCATATGGAGTGATTCAGAATTCTTCTAAAATGGAGATGGTGAGAATGTTTTTGTCAGGTCTTTGATCCCTTTCAAAAATAGAACCCCCTGGATGTGATTAGAGAGGGCTCATGCTGTGAGCTGGAGTTTTTGTAATCACTGCTGACTGGAAGTGCCTGTCAGTCTGATTTGTGCATTTTTCCAGTCTGTTTTATAATACAATCAAATTGCTGTTCCCACATTGTAAGACACACTTCACAAGTTTCTTGGGAGAGGACACCAAGCTCCCAGGCTAATTCATTTTTCCTCTCAAAAAAGAATTTTTCCATATTTTCTTCTTAAACTATTTAATTTTATAATTACTCACAGAGGCTAAAAATTGATTCCACGAGCCTTGGGTAATCTCCAGATGTTCTCCAGACTGGAAACCAGCAATTGAAAAGAGAAAAAATACAGAAGACAATTTTTTTTAAAAATTGAGGAACTTTTTATTTCACAGTACTTAAGTGGGTAAACAACTCTTGTAGAGTGACACATCAGGATGTATTTCCAGGTAGATGTTCACATCCCTGTAAGGGGCCCTAAACCACTGCAGAAACAAGATAACAGAAGCCCTTGGGATTTAGCCACCAGCCTTATTTACCTCTGCTCTGAGGATACTGTAGATAAAACCTCTGAGACCCTAGGATAGATTTACAGAAGAAAGCAAGGCTGGCACATCCTGGTTCACCATGCTTAGTGCTGTGAGGTACGACCTGTAAGCTCACAGCTCATTCTTCTAGGCCACTGCTGTTGCTGCAGCTTGCCAAGGAGATCCTCACTGCAAACAAGAACTGCTCATCCCCCTTTAAAACAGGGAAGAATGAAAAAGAAGGCAAAATAGGATTGGGGTTTTCTTGTCAGCACAAGAGCCCATGCCTTGTTCCATCTGTGTGGAGAAAAGCTGTCACAGAAATGATGGGAAGCTGGTGGTGGTACCTGGCTGCCAAAGGAAGACACTGCCTGGAGTGTACAGCTGATGTTGATGAATGGCATAAATTTAATTGGTAATTAATTTCTTATTCAAGCTGACTTTTTTTTTCTTCCTAGCAGAACAGACAAGAGTGGCAATGTTTCACATAATCACTGATTTCGCCGAAGCTTTGACAGCATTATCAAGGGCTTTTAATATTTTTGATTTTATATGAATCCCATAAAACATCCAAACACCAGGATGTAAACAAAAGACTTCAAGAAGCTTAGTTTTGATATTTCTGTTACATTCCAAATTTGGAATGAAAGGAGGTACAAAATAATCACCTCTCCCAGGAAAATGTGACATCTCACACAGCTCTGACCATTCTTGCACAAGTCTCAAGGATCTCTGCTGATGGACAAGTCTCCCCCTGCACTCAGTGATGCTGCAAAACGTCCAGCAAACCTGCCACAAAGGGAATTCTCATTCACATCCTCCCGGATGCTCAGAGTCACCTTCCAGGGCAGCAGCACCTGCCAATACCATCTTCTGGGATAGTACCTTCTGAAGCACACTGATGGAAAGGTAAAGGTCTGATGTTACTGCTCAAATAACATGAACACATCTCTGACAAGTGGGTAGGCCTTACCTTCATCTTTTAGAAGAGAAAACAAAAAGCACATGCAAACTGTTTTCTTTTGAAGAGAACATGGATGTTGAAGAAATGAGAGAGTTCTTGTTAAAAGAGAGCTCTCTCATATTGCACTAGTACCTTAGGCTGCAATGCAAGATGTAACTGAAAGTATGTATTCTGTTATCATCTGTTAAAGCCAAGTAGGGCAGTGCTCTCTGTCTTCCCCACCATCCTCCCTCCAGGGAGATAGCTTCTGTTAATGGGCCACTGAGTGCCACTGCATGGCTGACAAAATCACATCATCCCATTGTGAGATACTCTGCCCAGGGGGAAGAGCCAAGCATTCCTAACTGGATATAACCAGAGATTTAGAACACCACCTTCAGCCTTTTCCACAGGATTCCCAGAGGAAGACTGAACCGTCTGCACCACCACTGGACTTTCAGAGAACTGTACCCTGGTTCTGCAGAATCCCTGCTTCAGCAGAACTGCATTTGTCACTCCAGGAGGACTGCAGCCACCATTTAATCAGACTGCTACCAACACCCTGACCAACAAGGTGTCAGGTTATATTCTGACTCTGTCAGTAGGTTTTTTTTGATTGGTTGGTTTTTTTGTACTACTGCATTTTGATTTTAATTTTCCTAATAAAGAACTGTTATTCCTATTCCCACATCTTTGCCTGAGACTAAATTAATTTCAAAATTATAATAATTTGCAGGGAGGGGGTTTACATTTTCCATTTCAAGGCAGACTCCTGTCTTCCTTAGCAGACACCTGTCTTTTCAAACTGAGACAACTAGCACATTTATTTCTACCCCTGCAGCAAAACTGTGTTTCTTCTGTAGAGGACTCTCCTGGACAGAAGCAGATGTCAGACTATTGACTAACATAGAATGCAGATTTTGTAGCAAATAACTTTTTGTTTGCACTTAGGTGGACAAGTTACCTACAATGGAAGAACAAGAGCCGGTAGATACATTGCACACTGAACTCCTCAGGCGCCAGTGGCTCTTTGCACTTGCTCACAGATGTGGGTTTGTACCCAGGGTGTTGTACATGGCTGGCTAATACCATTCACTTTGTTCATACCTCTGAGGACTGGAAAGCACAAATAATGACCATTTTCAGCTGCTCCACAATTTACATCTCTTCTGGGTGCTCAGTTAGCTATTTGCACTAAATGGGAACAGTAGGAATATAGTAATGTTGGCTGAAAACAAAAGCTGAAGCGAGGGGATTTTCAGAGCAGCTTTAGGGCCTGAAAACTGCTGCAGTCTTCCTGGTTTTGTTACAGAAAGGTGTTAAGGAGTCCTAGAAATTACTCTGGTGGTGACAGACAGAAAAAAAAATCGATTTATCAGCAGGCTGCTCCCCTTAAGCACTGCAGCAGCTTTCAGATACTACCTTTGGGAAGAGGGACTGGCTTGATGGAGGGAGTGAGGAGCTCTCCCACAGCATCACTCCTGGTGCAGGGTGGCAAGCAGCCGCTGCAAGGCCAGCAGTCTGCGCTGCCCCACCAGTGCAGGAACAATGGCAGGGCTGACAAGGCCAGGCCCTTGTGTGAATTAGCACCACTGACATTCCACTGATGGGCTTCTGCTCTCCATGCCATGGTGCTGCAGGGTGTTTTAGTCAAGATCCCATGTGCACATGGGACAAAGCATCTTTAGAAATGATGCTGGGTAGTGTGGTGCCCTGAAGTATGCTGGGGAAAGACCTGTCACTGCTTTAATTACATTCAAACAGGCACAGCTAGAGTGAATAATACCATGAGCAGGTGAGGAATTGATTAACCAGTTTGCTGCTGAAGGGAAGGGTGCCCCCTTGCTTTTCTTCCACCTGGCCTGTTTAGAGCAGACCTTGTTAGGGAGAAGGACATTTATTCACTTAGGTGTAACAAAATATAGTCCTGCCTCTCAGATCCCCACCACTGTGTGCCAGTGGGAGAGCAGGAGTGGGAGAGAGCCCAGGATAATGCAGGAATGTTATTTAGTAGGAAGACATGCTAGGACAGCACTAGGAAAACAAGGAAAAGACAACTCTTTTTTTTAAAAGTTGACTCAGCATCAGTGTGTCTGAGCAGTAGCTTGAGGAGTCAGTGCAAAATATTTAATGAATAATTTAAATCTGAATTGAAGGAATTCAACTGTTCCATTATGGGTTTCAAGTGGAGGAAGAATTCCTTGAGGAAAGGTATAAAAAGCAGTTATTGATATAGCATGAGTATTTTTTCCTATGAAGGTTAAAGAGTGTTAAATATGTTGGTAAAACCCAAGAGAATATCAAAGGATGTCTCCTTTACATAAACAATGTGTTGTCAATCCAGAGATACCATCCCAGGAGTTAATTCCACAGGTTCATACTGGAAGTCAATGCCACTCCAAGGAGCAGGAGGCTGAGCTGGAGCCTGACCCCTGGGTCTGCTCCAAGCCTTTCAGCAATACTTGCTCCAAGCCTTTCAGCAATACCAAAACTGGACGTAGGGGCACAGTTACATGGCTAATTGCTTCTGTTCCATATGGAAATGAGAGGAGGAGGAAATTATCATTATTATCCATTTGAGCACATGCTTACCTGAGTGCAGCGTGTGGCTTCAGTGCCTTGTATGCAATTGCACTCTCAGTTAAACAACACCTGGATTTCTTCTGAGGGTTGGTCCAGACTCAGCTTCAAGTGATATCCTTATACCCCACTCAAGAAGGTGATTGGGATGTTAAGGGATTCTGCCTGATACCTGTAAATCAGTGCTTCAGACACTGTCAACACCTGGTGTTGAAAATATGTTGACCACACTCTGAATTGACCTGTAATTGCTGAACTTGATGTGCTCTTGCTCAAAAGAGACCAAGAAAAACCTTGAAGGAATGGTTAATTCAGGAATTGTGTTTGAAAGGGCAAAGAAGACAGCAATGCTTCCAAGCCCTGGGAGTTAGATTTTGGGCTTTTGGAGGTTTAGGGTTGGGGTTTTTGTTTGGTCAGGTTGTGGAGGGTGTTTTTTGAGGACTTTTTTTAGGAGCTTTTTTTTGAGTTTCAGGTCATATGGAGTATTTTCAAATACATCTCTGTGGACTCCCCAGTGTTTCACTGGGGTCTGTGAACTCAGTGGACTCAGAGTGGAGAGGTCCCTGGCTCTGGGCTGTGAACAAGGGGAGAGAGTTACACCTGACAGTAAGCAATGAAGGACATCTGCCAGATTCCATTGCTCCATTCTGCTTTTACATTTGAGAAACTTCTCAGCTTCATGGGTATCAGAAAGACCTTGACAGCCAAGGATGCTTAAGGAGCCAAAGAATCTATACTGTGTTTGACTTGTCTGTGTTGAGCTGTTGTCTTTGAGGTCACTGTGGGAGTGGGTTCAGGACAACCTGTGAGACTGACAAGGGCTGGATCAGACATGGATGTTGTAGCACATGTTCTCCTTCATCCTCCTCCCCATGCCAGGTCAGAGCTGACTGTGCAGACTCCCTGGGACTGCAGCAGATATGAAACAGGAGAATTTCCTATTCCATTGATTAGTAAAGACAATTTCAAAGCAGCACTTGCAAGTTAGGCTCATTAGTGGACTCCCTTGCTTAATATCCCCAAACATGGTCTTCATAGAAGTCAAAATTCACCTTGGCTTCACTGGGCAGGGACTTGTTAAAGCTGAAACCACAGTGGTGTTACCCTGCTGATTCTCCATGTCCCAGTAACATGCAGCATCCACATACCAGCATGCCACCAGCAACTCCACATTGCACTTACAGCACCAGCTGACTTGCAGTGAAAGAGAAACACCAAGAAATCCTCTCTACCAGAAGGAGTACTGGAACTACCCCACCAGCAGCTGCAGTAACACACTGTGTGCCAGAAGTCCCTCCTTCCCCTAGGGAAATGGAGCTGAGTTGGTTCTTGAAATGACAGACAGCACATCCTCAAGGTGGAGTTGAGCTGTACTCAAAACAATTCTTATTCGTCCATCTACCTTCCAGGAAGTGTTTGGTGCTCCTTTCAAGTGGGGCCAGCTAGGCAGACCCACAGAAATGTGAGTGCCACTTCCTTGTGCCTGAGAATCACCAGCCCCACAGTGGTGACATTGGCCAAGTCACATGCACGAGGTTGCTTATTCCTCTAGTGTGGGCCCATAATTACCCCTCCGTGCCCAGAAGGGCAGGCAAGCTGTGCCACAGCTCACAGGAAATAATTACAGAGCAGCTCACCTTCCTGCAGTACAACTCTCTTCCTGATACATCCCAGAGGCAGCAGCAGCAGGATTACTCACAGTGGGTGATGTTTCCCAGCCTGATCCTCATGCCCTGGCTCAGCCATCCATCCCACCCTTCTCTGAGGCTCCTCCAGCCCAGGACAGCATGTTGATGTTGATGCAGAGGAGCTGGGGAGGAAATGGAGGACACAGCTGTGGCTGTGGGAAGCAGCCTATCAAGAAATGCTTGTTTAACACATGGCATGCCTCAGGAGTGAGCTGTTTCTGTAAATCAAATAGCTTCTCATGAGTAAGGAGCCCAGCCCTTTATTACGGTCACATAATTTTCAGAAATCGCTGTAATTCAGGGATTTTTATTGTTAACAGTTTTTGGCTTTCATGTACCAGCCTGAGGTGGGACCTGACTCCTTGGAACTGTTAAGAGCATGGGTTTCTGTGTGCTGCCAGCACCCAAAGGGAGTGAAAGCCTGTCAAGGGATACCAGGCAACCCATCCTCATTTGCCAAGAGAGACAGATCAGCCCTTCTTCTCTGAATGCTTTTGAGGGCCTCTTTCCTAAAAATGACACCTACAGACTGTAAGCTCTCTGGAGGCACTACTGGAAATGACCACATGTGTCTGAGAACTCTGAAATTAAATTTGTAATACTCAGCTGCTGTAATCTGCAAATAGTGTTAAGTGGTAGAAAGAGGCAGGAATCACCTTCCAAAGCTCTTTCCAAGTACATATGACCAAGAGAGTCACTTGTCAGCCAGAGCAGGTGCCCCCTTCTGCCCAGCCCCTAGGAAGTCACACTAAGGATGACTGCCACGCAGATCTTTATAGAAATTTCATAAAATATAAGATGAAACATAATTATTGTCTAGTCTAGCCACTCATCCATCTCTTATATGTGCAAAATGAACAATTTGCAGCAGAAGACCAAAAGTTTAAAGTGTGTGGGAGTAACAAAAAACAGCAATAGAAGCATGAAAAAAAGCTCTTTACCAACATTGCTTAGTTGCTGAAGTAATGGAAAACAAGGCTACAAATTACTTTCAGAGCTCTATATTTCCATTGTTTTAAAAGCTATAGCCCTTTTTTCAGAGCATTACAAAAACATCCTGCCTGCAGATAGGCTTTTATGTTTTTTAAACACTGTTTGCAAACACAAGTGCAGGTATGTGGCTGGTGTGAGAGAGCCCTTGGGGATAAGGAGCTCCACACAGGGGTGTTTTGGGAAGTCTCTATAAACCAGTGTTGTCATCCCTGGATTAATTAATTCCACAGTGGGCACAGTGTTTCATCCAACTGCAGGATTTCCTGGGAGGTTTTGGGACGTAGTGAGACAAGGCAAAGCACACT